AAAAATCCTATTGTTCTCACTTTTATAGTTGGCTTTTCTTATTTCAGCTTTTTTATTGTCTGAAGAGCTCTCAACGTGCAACTTGGTTCCAATAAATAAATCAAAATTGAAGTCTTGCTTTGTGCGAGCTTTCCCTCACAATTTTGCAAACAGATTATTTCTATGGCCCGGAATCTGTTGTTATTCTGAATGTAAATGTGCGTCTTTTATTCCAATTGGAGGTTTGTTTTCCTCTTGAGTTTGTGAGTTTTAAATAAATGATATGTCAGACAAAAAGAAATGAAAACATACAGACCATAGTCATAAAGAAAAAAATAGCTAATGTAGCAAATAAGCAGCAAACTCAAAAGTATAAGAGCAGTTGACCCAGTAAAAAGCAATAAAAGGTCATTATGTACAAGATGTTCTGCCAAAGGGCAGAATGAACAAAATGTATACGCTTGCGATTCTTATAGAAAAACATGACGACAGTGAAACATTCAAGTTTTGTATAAAAATGAAGTTAAACAATGAAATGAAGTGAACGACTTCCTGAAGAGTGGCCGTGAGTCATCAGCTTTGTGCAACAGCTCTCCAAAGTATGACCACTCTTTTCAAACCAATGAGCAAGTTTTTTAAGAACAGCCAATTATAGAGTCATTTTCCGCGTTTTTTTTTTTTTACTTCGTCCGAAAAAATAAATAGCGGCTGAAGACAAAACTCATTTTTCTTTCTTTTTCGTCGTTTCTTAATGTCAGAAAAGTGGGATTTTAAAAAGTGTCGTCGGTCATGTTTTTCACACAAAATGAAACAATTGAAAGAATGTCACTGAAAAGTGGTGGTTCTCTTGGAGGAGGAGTTGGCTGATGACTGATGACAATAATGTGACTGAGGGGTTTCAGGTTCATTGATCTGTCATTGAAAGCTCCCATTGTGTTGAAAGATGCTGTATGTGTGGCAGCCAGTCATAATACTGATGTAGAATGACTTGCTTCTTTTCATTTTATTTTTCACTGAGCTGTGGCCCTCTTCTTGTTTTGTTCCAGCTGAAGACGGACCCCCCCACTGTGGCGCCAGCCTCCCTGTCATTTTCGGCATCATCTGCTTGACGGGCCTCACTGGGAACTGCATCGTCATGTACACCATCCTGAAGAAGACCAAATGCCGCGCCAAACAAACCGTTCCGGACATCTTCATCTTAAACTTATCGATAGTCGATCTGTTGTTCCTTCTTGGGATGCCGTTCCTCATCCATCAGCTGCTCGGCAACGGTACGTGGCACTTTGGGGCTGCCATGTGCACGGTCATCACTGCGCTCGACTCCAACAGTCAGATCGTCAGCACTTACATCCTGACGGCGATGACCCTCGACCGGTACTTGGCMACGGTCCATCCCATTCGCTTCAACCACGTGCGCACGCCGTGTGTGGCGGTGTTGGTCATCGGGCTGGTGTGGGTTCTGTCCCTGCTCACCATCATCCCCGTGTGGATGTACGCAGACCTGATGCCCCTCGCAGACGGACTGGTYGCCTGCGCCCTCCTTCTGCCAGACCTCGCCAGTGACATTTACTGGTTCACGCTTTACCAGTTTTTCCTGGCCTTTGCCATCCCCCTGGCCATCATCTGCGTGGTGTTCTTCAAGATCCTCCAACACATGTCCACCAGCGTGGCCCCTCTGCCCCCGCGGAGTCTGCGGGTGCGCACCAGGAAAGTGACCCGGATGGCCGTGGCCATCTGCCTGGCGTTTTTCATCTGCTGGGCTCCTTATTACGTCCTCCAGCTCGTCCACCTCGGGGTCCAAAGCCCGAGCCTGGCTTTCTCCTACGCTTACAACATCGCCATCAGCATGGGCTACGCCAACAGCTGCATCAACCCGTTCCTCTACATCGTCCTCAGCGAGACCTTCAAGAGACAGTTTATCAAGGCCGTGCACCCGCTGAACAGGAAGTTCCGCGTGAACCCGAGCACCACAGATGGRGGCAGCGTGGGCATGAGGCTGATGCCTGAAGGAGCTCAGCAGGATCCAGGACTGAGGGACATGCTGCCGTCCAGCGAGGCCCCACAATGAGTTAATGAGCTACAATAAAATAATTATCCCCAGTCTATGAGGTGCCATTTGTTAAGTTACACAGTCAAAAATTGCCACCTAAATTTTTGTTTTATTTTGCCTTTCATAAGAAAAAAAAGAACAGATTTATTTTTCAAAGTCAATTTTTTCACCATATGTCATAGTTTATAAACTAAATATTTAACTTGTAACTTAAATATTTAGTTTTGTGCTTAATGTTTAGCTTGAAACTTAAATTTTTAGCTAGCTACCTAAATACTTAACTTAAATATTTAGTTTTGAACTAAATGTTTAAGTTTTTGTTGAGGTCTGCTAACACAAACAAAACAAAAAATGACATAAATCTCAAATACAAATATTGTCCCTGCTCTTCTGCCACCAGCTGATTGGTCAACATCAATCAGAAATTTACCAATCTGATCAGAAAACGTAATGCAAAAACTGACACACTGTCAGGTTGTGTGTGAGGATGAACCCAGATCCTGGTGGAGGATGAAGTTTTTAACTAAAAAGTATTCATTTAATAAACAAAACCAAAGAACTGACAGGGCAAATGAGCCACAGGGAAACACGAAGACGAGACAGATGTGATGATCCGGTGAGGACTGACCAAAAGACAAGAGTATTTATGTCCACAGATGAAGAGAGAAGATGAACAACAGCTGAGGAACTGGAAACTTCTGACAGGTGAGAGACATGAACAGGTAATCAGCAGGAGACACACTGAGACAGGGGAGGACACAAGAAGGACACAACAGGGGACACACGCATGAG